CCACAGAAGACATGGAGGCCCGGAAAAGGAGGGGCAGGGCATAAGTCTAGGAGTGACTCTCCCACCCTCCTGCCTGCAGAGTGAATTCCAATAGCACAGGGTTAAGAACAGGGAGCAGTGGCCAGGTGCAGCCAGCCCATGCCTGTATTCTCAGTACTTTGGGAAACTGAAGCTGGAAGAAGGGTCGAGGCCAGGAGTTTGAAACCAGCCTGGTCAACATGGCAACACTCTGTCTCTACAAAAACAAAAAAACTTAATTAGGCAAGATACTGCATGCCTGTAATCCCAGCTACTGAGGAGGCTAAGGCAGGAGGATCAACTGAGCCCAAGATTCAGAGGCTAGTGAGGCAGCAGTGCCTCTTGGAGGTGGTCCTGAGGGCCCTTGCCCAGGCAGCTACTAGTCTGCCAGGTGTCCCCCTGCAGGGGAGAAGGCAGCCTCTCATGGGGCTTTACTTGAGTCTGGAAAACTGTTCCAATATGCGGAGTTGAAGTAGGTGCCAGCCCCTGCTACAAACTCGCAGATTCCCAGAAAATGCTCTAACATGCCTCTAGATGGCACCACTGTTCACCAAGCATCAGATCCCACAAGTTGAGAGCCCGTCACTGGTCTGCAGTGGTCTTGCTCACCAGGGAATGGGCCAGGCTCTGGAATGCTCTGATTAGACTGGGAAAATAAGTTGCACTATGCTTGGTGAGTCACTTAAGCACCTGCAGATTCCAGCCTGGGTCCCTTGCAGGGAACATGCATGCATGCGCATGTGCACATACCACATCTGTGACAATGGAGGTATTGCCTTTCTCTGGACCATCTTTTCATCAAAGTCAACAGATAATCCTAGTCTTCCAGAGTTCAAAATTCTATTTCTGGAATTGTACGTATAGCCTTGCCCATAACGATAGGGTGCAAGCCCGCAGGGCAAAAAGCCCTCCCTTGGTGTCCACCCAACCTGGGTAAACAGGATGCAGGCCACAGGAAGGGTTTAAACCTACACAGGGCTGCCTTGCAGACTCCACCTTCTCTTTGCTTTCCAGCTCGCTGGCCACACTAGACTCCACCTTCTCTTTGCCCGCTTGCCTGGGGCCACAGGGCCCTGTTGCTCCTCCGTGTCTTCCTCACCCAGAGCTGTGCCTGCCACTCACTGCTCCCTCTCACCCCTCCATATCCACATGCATCCTCCTGCTGCCTTCCTGAACCCCAGCAGAGACTGCAGGGTAGATCCTTCTCTACCAAGGAAGAGTATCTGAAGAACAGCTCATGAAGATTTCCTGTATTCAGACACCCATTCTCCCAGTGCCTTCCAATATAAAATCAAATATGCTGGCGAGGTGTAGTGGCTCACACCTGTAATCCCAGCACTGGGAGGCTGAGGTGGGTGGATCACAAGGTCAGGAGTTGGAAACCAGCCTAGCCAATATGGTGAAACCCCACCTCTACTAAAACTACAAAAATTAGCCAGGCGTACTGGCGGGCACCTGTAATTCCAGCTACTGAGGAGGCTGAAGCAGGAGAATTGCTTCAACCTGGGACGCATAGGTTGTACTGAGCCAAGATTACGTCACTGCACTCCAGCCTGGACAACAGAGTGAGATTCTATCTCAAAAATAAATAAATGTCCATTCCCACAAAACCATGTTCTATAGCGAGTTAATAAAAACAAGAATAGAATCTTTCAATCACACTATCAAAAGCAAAACAGTTTTCCAATGAAAATGAGCACTGTTCAAATTAAGCTACAAAATGCAAAATGTCTCATCTGAAAATGCAGCCCCAGCATCTCTTGCTGTGGGAAGGTGCTGGTCAGGGAAGGGGCTGGGAGACCTGGTGATCTGCTCAGTTCCCAACAGAGGAGGGAGACTTGGGGGTCTGGAGAACCCACTGAAGTCAACTTCCAGCCATTAGAAATCCAAGAAAGCCTTCTTGGCCTTCTTTTTAAATCTTGGGTTTATAAACTGCAAACAAATTAGGTGCCTGTTCGAAAATCTTTACAAGTCAATCATAGACTTAACAGTAAGTTGCTCGTCTGGGGGACCAGAGGCCTCTGCATTCCATCCCTCCACACCTTCTGGGTTCTGTGGCTTATGAAGGTATAGAGAAAAAAAACCTGTTTCTCCTCTGCTTTCACACCTTAACAGTCAACAGAGACTTCTGTGGCCAAACGTGGAGTTTCTCCCCACTAACAAGCAATTAGTCAATTCTGCAGCGGATACCAGCTGGACGTTTTCTAGTCGCATTCAAGTCTGATGCTACTGCATCAGATCCCACCACAGGTTGAGGGCTCAGTCCCAAGACTGTCCCCCACTTGTGATGTCAAGTGAAATTCCCAGCTTGCAACCTATGCTTCTGACAGACTGGCTATAGATCATTATCTTGGGAATGGATTCCTTATAAGAGGATTAGTCAGTCTTCTGTGGGTGCATTTCCCTGCTGCCCTTCCACCATGGGATGACAGCAAGAAAGCCCTTGCCAGATGCTGGCAGTGCCTTGATCCTGGACTTTCTAGCCACCACAGTTTGGTTGGATCCGTCCACTGGCAGCAGGGCTTAATGGGCGGTATTTGGGTCATGGGAGGTGAATTCCTCATGAATAGATAAATGCCCTCCCTAGGGTGAGGGAAGAGAGACTTCACACTCTTGTTAGTCCCTCCACCTCAGCTGGTTGTTAGAAAGAGCCCAGCGCCTCCCCTCCCTTTCTCATTCCCTCTCTCACCATGTGATTTCTGCACACGGAGGCTCCCCTGTGCCTTCCGCCATGAATGGAAGTGGCCTGAGGCCCCCAACAGAGCAGATGTTGGCACGGTGCCATCCTGTAAAGCCTACAGAACCAGGAGCCAAAAAATCTCTTTATAAACTACTCCGCCTCAGATAATTTATAGCAACACAATGGACTAAGACACCAGCCTCCAGAACTGTAAGGAGATAAATCCCTGTTCTTTATAAATTGCCCAGTCTCAGGTATTCTGTTAGAGAAGCACAAGGGGCTAAGACTACATCAAGACTTGACAAGGGATAGTTTCTTAAAGGTTAGCTGCCAAAGGGAATTGGACTCCTTAATGATTTTTTTTCCCTAATCTGTTACATTAGAGGTCACTGGTGTACCTTGCATTTGGTATGGGTCTTTTACACATGCATGATTTCTTTTCTTTTTTTTTTTTTTGAGGCGGAATTTTGTTCTTGTTGCCCAGGTGGGAGTGTAGTGGCACGATCTCAGCTCACTGAAACATCCGCGTCTCAGGTTCAAGTGATTCTCCTGCCTGGTGTCCTGAGTAGCTGGGATTACAGGCGCGCTACCACGCCCAGCTAATTTTTGTATTTTTAGTAGAGATAGGATTTCTCCATGTTGGTCAGGACCTCAGGTGATTCGCCTGCCTCACCCTCCCAAAGTGCTGGGATTACAGGTGTGAGCCACTATGCCCAGCCAGACATGATTTCTTATCATGTGTGCGTCACCTGAAAATACTGGTTCTTGTAATGCAGATCTGACAATGTTGACACATCTCACTGAAAAATAAATATTTAAAAACTCACGTTGCTGGTATTGCCACCAATGTCATCATTAAAGTCTAAATATTGTTATGCCCATCATCATTTCAAAGCTTGAATTTCATCACTGGCAAAGCAGTAACAAATTTAGCAACAGCAACGTATGCAAAAATAAAAGGTTAGTTGTTTTCCTTGAAGTAGCAGGTTCACTTTGCTCATTTTTAAGAAACTGTACGCTAAATATCCAAATCTGAATAATCAGTTTGTGCCAGTTGTTCTTTAAGTGAAGATGGAATCCATGAAAAAGGCAACTAGTTCAGCCCACACCTCAAGCGAGTGCACGTGTGCTTTTCCTCACGACAGCATCAAACTCCATGTGACATACTTCATGTGTCCCTCACTTCATCAGATAGGATGTTAAAAAGATGTGGACTCGCCGGGCGCGGTGGCTCAAGCCTGTAATCCCAGCACTTTGGGAGGCCGAGGCGGGTGGATCACGAGGTCGAGAGATCGAGACCATCCTGGTCAACATGGTGAAACCCCGTCTCTACTAAAAATACAAAAAAAAAAAATTAGCTGGGCATGGTGGCACGTGCCTGTAATCCAGCTACTCAGGAGGCTGAGGCAGGAGAATTGCCTGAACCCAGGAGGCGGAGGTTGCGGTGAGCCGAGATCGCGCCATTGCACTCCAGCCTGGGTAACAAGAGCGAAACTCCGTCTCAAAAAAAAAAAAAAAAAAAAAAAAAAGATGTGGACTCATGGGTCAGGAGTTAATAAAGTTGACTTTTACTGCTTTTCTGACCTAACACTGGGGGGCATGTGTACAGTGTGTGTGGTGGTGAAGACTTAATTACAAGATCAGCATGCTCTCGTCTTGATCAGTGCAGACCCCACAGCTTCTTTCTCCACTGCTCCTGCATCATCGGCGCAAAAGCCATCACAACCAAAAAGGCACGGTAACAAATCATGGCTGTGTTATTATTAAAATAGTTCTGAGCCTCAGCTCCCCGAGTGGTCTCAGGAAGCCCCAAGGAGACTGCAGATCACATTTCAAGAACTGCTGTGCTAGAGGAACCCCCACTAGAAGTTAAGGGGGTCTGATACCAGCCAAGTATAGGGCTGGGACAGGGCTTCACAGCTAGGAAATCAAGAGTGGCCTGCGAATCTTGGAGTCGCTCCTAGGAAGTCCCTGAGTGTGTTGTTCTGGCAAGGCCCCACCGCACGGATGTGCTTGCCCCATGGAAGGCTTTAAATGAAGCAAGTAGTCAAGAACATGGGCTCTGGGCCGGGCATGGTGACTCAGGCCTGTAATCCTAGCACTCTCGGAGGCCAAGACAGGAGGATTGCTTGAGCCCAGTCGTTCAAAAGCAGCCTGGGCAACACGGTGAGACCATCATTATTACCAAAAATAAATAAATAAATAAATAAAAAGGGGCAGGGTCTGCATCAGATTAGTTCAAACCTAGATCATCACTTTTCAGCTGTGTGAGCTAAGCCTCAGTTTCTGTCTTTGTAAATAGAGATACTCATGCCTGCCTGAGGATGAGAACAAGGATGAAGACTGTGTGTGAAATGCCTGCAGCAGGAATGCTGGACCTAGCACACAAGAATGCCAATTAATGGAACCTGCTATTATTATGCTTCATTAGGCAACTTCCAACAGGGAGGAAAACAACAGGTATGGACACCTCTGCCATGGGGTGGCTTCTGATCCCCTACAATAAGGGATCCTGGCGCATGTTCACTAACATGACAAAGGGACACCTCTACAGGATTCTGGAGGGACGTGCAATCAAAACCCTGCCCTAAGAGCTCAGCTCAGCAGCGTTTCTTCACAGCACAGCTCAGCTGGACCACCTGCTCCATGGGAACCCCAGACAATCCTTTGGGAAGACAGAGACACTAGCAGTTCTCCAAGGGCCACCTCTCCAGGCAGGCTGCATGAAATGCCAGGGACCTGCAAGGGAGCACTCAAGGTTGGCAATGCCCCTGGAAGGGGGCTCCACCCATAGACCCTGGTGGCAGGGGCTCTGCAGCAGCTGCTGCCCAGCCACATTTCTCAGGGCTGGGCTGGCTTTGTGCTGCCTCCCCAGGAGGTGCTTACCCACACAGCAGCCATGGCACCAAGATGCCAGCTGGCCTCAGAGGGGCTCCTCTGTTCCCAGGAGGCAGATCCCAGGCACCCATCCAGGAACAGGGCTTTCTGCTTGGCTGGGAAAACTGAAAGGCCGCTTTCTGCCTCGCCTGAAGTTTCCATCTGATGAACAAATGAGGCGCCCACTGCTCCATGAGGAGCAGAGCCGAGGTAAAAGACAAATACTCTCTGTGCCCCTTGGGTCTGAAGAGAGAATGGCAAGGCCCAAACCAGGTCTAGGGGAAGAAGCCAAAGCAAGAAGCGAGCTGGAAGCAAGCAGGAGCTGATGTGGACCTCAGGGAAGACGCTTTCAGTCCAGGAAGCAGCACCCAGCAGGGACAGGGCAGTGGGGAAAGGAGAGCAGAGTCCCCGTCAAGGGTGCAGGCCCAAAGGGGACTCTTCCATGGAGGCTTGGCCCACGCTAGGCCTTTCCATCCTGTGACATCTCCATCCAACACACAGCCAGATTAGTTCACACCCACCTTGGAGGGCGGTGTGAGATTAAGTGGGGTGTGGATATAAAACTTCCTGAGGCTGGGCGTGGTGGCTCACACCTGTAATCCTAGCACTTTGTAAGGCTAAGGTGGGCGGATCACCTGAGGTCAGGAGTTTGACACCAGCCTGACCAACATGGAGAAACCCCACTTCTACTAAAAATACAATATTAGCCGGATGTGGTGGTATATGCCTGTAATCCCAGCTACTCAGGAGACTAAGGAAGGAGAATTGCTTGAACCTGGGAGGTGGAGGTTGCAGTGAGCTGAGATTGTGCCATTGCACTCCAGCCTGGGCAACAAGAACAAAACTCCATCTAAAAACAAAAACAAAAAAACTTCCTGAACTGCTATAACAGGCCTATGCAGTGTGAGGGTTATTAGGAGGAGGGGTGTTACTTCCAAGGGATGGCCACTGACTCCCTGCACAGTACCATGCAGCTGTTCTGCCTGTTCTCCCAGGCACCCCAGGGCCAAGCAGAAGCAGTCTGTGAGATGACCATGTAACAGAGGCCCTGTGAGGGGAGGCTGGGGAATGGTGCTTCCTCCTGGATTTCCTTCTGATAGTTACTCAGCACATCCTCCGTGCCAGATACAGGCTGGGGATTAAAGACACATCCCTGGCTGGGTGCAGTGGTTCAGGCCTGTAATCCCAGCCCTTTGGGAGGTCAAGGTGGACAAATGACAAGGTCAAGAGATCGAGACCATCCTGGCCAACAGGGTGAAACCCTGTCCTACTAAAAATGCAAAAACTAACTGGGCATGGCAGCAGGTACCTGCAGTCCCAGCTACTTGGGAGGCTGAGGCAGGAGAATTGCTTGAACCAGGAGGCGGAGGTTGCAGTGAGCCAAGATCGCGCCACCACACTCCAGCCTGGCAACAGAGCTCATCTCAAGGAAAAAAAAAAAAGACACGTCCTTGCCTTCCAGAAGCTCACAGTCAAGTGAGGGAGATGAGCATTAAATAATCACCGTCTCCACCAAAAACCCCAAACACAATTACATCTGTGACCAGTGGTGTGGAGAAAGCTTAGGGCACAGTAGACGGACAGCAAGATAGCCATTCTGGAACTCTTAACACTGTCTCTTCAAGCAAGCCTGGGAGGAGGTGACAGAACAGTTAATGAGACCAGCAGGGAAAGGGAGGGATGGGAACAGCAGAGGGTACAGTAAGTATACAAGACCTAAAGAAGGAGGGCTGTTCCCCTCAGGGTGGCCAGATGGCAGGCTGGGGCCCTCACAGTGACCCAGCCAGAGGTTGTTCCAGAGCTGAAATACCCCAGATGTCCCAGGACAAGGATGACAAGGCAGTGGGCAGTGTCCATGGCCTTCTCAGGCGTTAGGCTTCCCCAGGAGACCTCTGGCACCACTCAGCCTTGTTGCACTGTGGCACTTAGGAACAAAGACAGCAGCCTTCTTTGCTTACTGTGAATAGAATATTGGGACCCTGCCTCACCAATGATTGCCTGAAGCCCTGGACAAATTCCTCAACCTCTCTGAGCTTCAGTTTTCCCATGTGGAAAATGAGGTTCTTGGGAGGCTGAACTAAACCCCACATGTAAATGTCCAGGCTGTATGACTGCAGATGCCTTGCATGAATGACTATGCAGATAACATCACCCATACAGGGCTGTGCTGTGTTCCTCCACATCACACTGCAAAGGAAGAAGGCAGAATAACAAGATCTCGAGCAGCAATTTTCTGCCTAATGAACTATGGAGCGCAGACTGCCAGCTGCACCCAAATCCAGTCTCTCCCCCATTCTTGAATATGGAACTCCACTTTCACTCAGGGCAGCAGTCAGTCAGCCAAGACGGTCCTGAGCTTTCTTGCGGTGACAAAGCTCTGGCTGATATAGCTGTAGGCAGAAGTAGTCCAGACCATGAGAAGGCACTCAAGGCAAGTTGACGCAGCCTTCATCCTTCCTGCCTTCCTCCCATCTGCCACCTTGAAGATGGATTCCATGGCTCCAGCAGCCGTGCTTGACCATGAGGGCCTTGGGATGGAGGCCAGTGCCTAGGGCAGCCATGGGATACCACATCAGCAACAAACTGGTCACCTCCCTTACCTTCCACCTGAGAAATAAAACTTGTTTTATTGGTTAATTATTGGTAAATTAATTTCAAGTCAAGTATTAACAAGGAAGAAAAACAAGTGTCATTACAAATATACGGCACAGACAGGTGCAGTGGCTCACACCTGTAATTGCAGCACTGTGGAGGCCAAGGTGGGACAATTGCTAAGGCTAGGAGTTCAAGACCAGCCTGCACAACATAGCAAGATCCCGTCTCTACAAAAAAATAAAATTAGCCAGGTATGGTGATGGAACACCTGTGGTCCCAACTACTTAGGAGGTTGAGGTGGGAGGATTGCTCAAGCCCAGGGATTCTAGGCTACAATGAGCTATGTCACGCTAATGCACTCTACCCTGGGCGACAGAGTGACAGTGTATCCCACCTCCACCAACAAAATGTATCTGTATAGTTCCTTAGGCCTAAAGGAACACAAGTTCTCTTCAAGTGATCCATGATCAAAAGGATCATGGCTTTCTCTAGGTCACACAACACAGCCTCAGCCAGTGCAGAGGCCAAGGCATGGTGGGTACCCTCTGGCTGCAGGCTGGAGCAGATGCTTCCGTAGTTAAAACAGGTCCTAAGAGAAGTGAGCTGGTTACCTTGGAGCGAGGGCACATTATTCTGCAACCCCAGCGCTTGTTTCAGCATGACCACCCTGACTTGACGAGTTACAGAGAAGGATGATGGTGTGCAATGAATGTTAATAGAACATGCACTGTTTGGATGCAGGTGCCCAGCACAGAAACACAAAGGAGGTGCTCATAAGGGAGCCCCTGTTGTGAGACTGATCCTGGACCCCAAACCCTCTCCACTCCCCTCTTCACCAAGCCCTTCCCAAACCTGGGGCTAATCCAGCCACCCCAGTCCATGTGGGACCAGGCCAGGATTCCCTGTGGCCTTTCAGCCGCTGACTAGAGGGACCTTATTCCCAATGCTGGGTGAGGAGCAGGAAGGAGGAGGCCCTCCACAAAAGTCCACTCAGTTGCAGAGCAGCCTCTAGTGAGGCTGAGCCCTCCCAAGACTCAGGGAGGTTACCAGTATGTCCCCTTCTCTGGAACTGTTGTCCTCGGCTGCCAAGTTCCGGCACAGGCAGGACTGGGAAATCGTGAAAATGGCCCATTTTCCACTGTCCTGATGGAGGTAGGATGACAGAGACAGTCCCTCCCTGAGATAACATCACTGATAGCTCTGAACCATTTATTTATTTTTATACTTGAACATGGGAGTATCTGATGCCTTAGGAATTCTAAACAATTCAAAACGAGCTCAAGTCAAGTCACAAAAAGGACCACAAAACACATCTGGTTTCTGTGGGGAACGCTCCCGTGTGAGACCCCTAAAAGGCGTGAGTCTCACTATACGGTGAGTTTGATCCCAAACACAGTTTCCTACTGGAGGCAGTCGAGCTATCCGGAATATAGGAACTGAAAGATGATTGATCAGTTTCTAATATCAACCACAATATCTTTTGGGCCTAAAACTATGCGTTGCTGCTAGACCGAGTGACCCCCTACCAGCAACCAGTTCCTGCTTTTTAACCTTTTTTATGACTCTCTTTTAAGAATAAGTTTTAACCTTTTCTTTACTTACCTGACTGCCTAATGGTTTAACTGTCGATATTTGCAAAGCAAATGCCACCATAAGGGATGGCTTTGATTCCTGACTCAGAGATTCCTGAATGGGGAAATTGAGTTAAGTTGAGTTAGGAGTAGACAAAGGAGAATCCGGTTAAAGGATATTCTGATGAGCAAAACCAAAAAACTTTTCACATCTCAGTTCTAAAACAAGATCAAACCGGAGATACCTGCAGCCAGGAGGAATAATGTCTGGATGCAAACAAGCTTTGTGATTACAGGAAATTCTATTACTTTTTACAACCACTGATTGTGTATCTGACTTTTCAATTGTATAGGCCATGTAAGGTATACATTTGCATTTCCTCTTGCAACCATTGTATATCTGATTTCTCTATTGTATAGGCCATGTGAGGCATACATTTACATTCCTCTTGCTATGACGTAAACCAGAGCCAAGAAAGTGTATTTATTCCTGGCATTTGAAAAATAAAATTTGCTGTTTAGGCACAGCCTATCAGCCCTCCAGACGCCTCGCTTTCTCTCTCTCTGTCTTTATTATTTTCTCAGGCGCACTCCCTCTTCCAGGTATTGGGACCCTCTTGCAGGTCGAGAGACCCCCGGGCAGACGTGCCTACCCGTCCGGACGGTCCACGACAGGTTTCCCCATCTGCCGGCTCTCCTCGCACCCAACCCTGTATGTTCCTCCTCGACAATGTTGTGTCTCAGCAGAGATAAAGACACCAGCCTGGCTGGGCCTGATGGCTAACGCCTGTAATTCCAATACTTTGGGAGGCTGAGGTGGGCGAATCACTTAAGGTCAGGAGTTCAAGACTAGCCTGATCAACATGGTAAAACTCGGTCTCTACTAAAATTACAAAAATTAGCCAGGCATGGTGGCAGGCACCTGTATTCCCAGCTACTTGGGAGGCCGAGGCAGGAAAATCGCTTGAACCCGAGAGGCAAAGGTTGCAGTGAGCCAACATCATGCCACTGCACTCTAGTGGGCAACAGTATGAGACTCCATCTCAAAAAAAAAAAAAAAAATAGGCCGGGCACAGTGGCTCATGCTTGTAATCCCAGCACTTTGGGAGGCCGAGGCAGGTGAATCACAAGGTCAAGAGATTGAGACCATCCTGGTGAACACAGTGAAACTCCATCTCTACTAAAAATACAAAAATTAGCTGGGGGTGGTGGCATGCATCTGCAGTCCCAGTTATTTGGGAGGCGGAGGCAGAAGAATCACTTGAACCCAGGAGGCAGAGGCTGCAGTGAGCCAAGATCACGCCACTGCACTCCAGCCTGGCGACAGCAAGACTCTGTCAATAAATAAATAAATAAGACACCAGCCCAACCCCATGGCCCCAAACACCACTGTACCCTCCAACAGAAGCATGAGCCCTGTGTTACACGCAGAGCTGCAAGGGAAGAATCTTGCA